CAAATTTAAAATCTTAGTGAATCTTTTTTTTTCCTCAGAAAAATATTTGCCAGATTAAGTCTTGATCTTCAGCATGCAGAGTTTTCATAATTGTTTGGCTATTTTTGTTTATAAAAATGTCCAATAGAGGCCATGTCTGATTTTGCAGATCTATCATTTATATGCTGTGGGCAGGCAGGTAAAAGAGTGAAGTCATGAACTTCTGCCACTCACTGAATAAGAGTCGTAGTTAATATTTACTGAGCATGTACTAAGTGTCAGGGACTCTGAATGCTTTAAGTGGATTGTCTACTTCAGTTAACTCAATGAATTAAATATGAGAGAACTGAAATGTAGAGACTAATCTAATTTCCCAGAATCAAATAATAAGGAAGTGGGTAGGCTGAGATTCAAAGCAGCTATAGAGTCTGTACTCCTAATCAAGGGGTTACATTCTTCATTTTCTTATCAAATTGAAGACAAATTGTCAGTCAAAGCCTTTACACCCACTGGTTGCTAGACTAATGTAAACTTAACATTGAAAAACATCTGATAGCGCTTAAATTTACATCTGTGACATTTCTCCCTGATATATTTGGTTTTTCTAACAGTGGAAGATATTTTTTAATGAGCTTATATAGTCAGTAACTGACAGCTTTGTAACAAGATGGTTTATTATTATTAACCATCATGGCAACAACAACAACATTAAAGAACAAGGTAGTAACACCTAATGTGTACTGAGCATTTAGAATATGCCAAGAGTGATATTTAAAGAACATCTGTGGTTTCTGCTTTTTCTTTGGGCATTTGCTACTCCAACCAGTCCATATTTAAAATGCCCGGAGGAGCTTCAAGTGGCAGAAGAGTAAGACGCGGAGATCACCTTCCTCCCTACAAATACATCAGAAATACATCTACACGTGGAACAACTCCTACAGAACACCTACTGAACGCTGGCAGAAGACCTCAGACCTCCCAAAAGGCAAGAAACTCCCCCACGTACCTGGGTAGGGCAAAAGAAAAAACAGAGACAAAAGAATAGGGACGGGACCTGCACCAGTGGGAGGGAGCTGTGAAGGAGGAAAGGTTTTCACACACTAGGAAGCCCCTTCGCGGGCGGAGACTGCGGGTGGCGGAGTGGGGGAGCTTTGGACCCGCGGAGGAGAGCGTAGCAACAGGGGTGCGGAGGGCAAAGCGGGAGATTCCCGCACGGAGGATCGGTGCCGACCGGCACTCACCAGCCCGAGAGGCTTGTCTGCTCACCCGCCGGGGCGGGCGGGGATGCGAGCTGAGGCTTGGGCTTTGGGTCGGAGCGCAGGGAGAGGACTGGGGTTGGCGGCCTGAACACAGCCTGAAAGGGTTAGTGCACCACGGCTAGCCGGGAAGGAGTCCGGGAAAAGGTCTGGAGCTGCCGAAGAGGCAAGAGACTTTTTCTTCCCTCTTTGTTTACTGGTGCGCGAGGAGAGGGGATTAAGAGCGCCGCTTAAAGCAGCTCCAGAGACGGGCGCGAGCCGCGGCTAAAAGCGCGGACCCCAGAGACGGGCAGGAGACGCTAAGGCTGCTGCTGCCGCCACCAAGAAGCCTGTGTGCGAGCACAGGTCACTCTCCACACCTCCCTTCCGGGGAGCCTGTGCAGCCCGCCACTGCCAGGGTCCCGGGATCCAGGGACAACTTCCCCGGCAGAACGCACGGCGCGCCTCAGGCTGGTGCAACGTCAGGCCGGCCTCTGTCGCCGCAGGCTCGCCCCGCACTCCGTGCCCCTCCCTCCCCACCGGCCTGAGTGAGCCAGAGCCCCCAATCAGCAGCTCCTTAAACCCCGTCCTGTCTGAGCGAAAAACAGACGCTCTCCGGCGACCTACACGCAGAGGCGGGGCCCAATCCAAAGCTGAGCCCCTGGGAGCTGTGCGAACAAAGAAGAGAATGGGAAATCTCTCCCAGCAGCCTCAGGAGCAGCGGATTAAAGCTCCACAATCAACTCGATGTACCCTGCATCTGTGGAATACATGAATAGACAACGAATCATCCCAAATTGAGGAGGTGGACTTAGAGAGCAAGATTTATGATTTTTTCCCCTTTTCCTCTTTTTGTGAGTGTGTACCTGTATGCTTCTGTGTGCGATTTTGTCTGTATAGCTTTGCTTCCACCATTTGTCCTAAGCTTCTATCCGTCCGTTTTTTTAAAAATTTTTTTCTTAATAATTATTTTTAAATTTAATAACTTTATTATATTTTACTTTATTTTATTTCACTTTATTTTCTTTCTTTTTTCCTTCCTTCCCTCCTTCCTTCCTCCCACCGTCCCTCCCTCCCTCGTTTCTTTCTTTCTTTCCTTCTTTTCTTTCTTTCTTTCTTTCTTTCTTTCTTTCTTTCTTTTCTTTCTTTCTTTCTTTCTTTCTTTCTTTCTTTCTTTCTCTCTTTCTCTCTTTCTTTCTTTCTTCCTACTTCTACTAATTCTTTCTCTCTACTCTTTCTCCCTTTTATTCTGAGCTGTGTGGATGAAAGTCTCTTGGTGCTGCAGCAGGAGTCAGTGCTGTGCCTCTGAGGTGGGAGAGCCAACTTCAGGACACTAGTCAACAAGAGACCTCCCAGCTCCACATAATATCAAACGGCGAAAATCTCCCAGAGATCTCCATCTCAACGCCAGCACCCAGCTTCACTCAACGACCAGCAAGCTACAGTGCTGGACACCCTATGCCAAACAACTAGCAAAACAGGAACACAACCCCACCCATTAGCAGAGAGGCGGCCTAAAATCATAATAAGTCCATAGACACTCCAAAACACACCACCAGACATGGACCTGCTCACCAGAGAGACAAGATCCAGCCTCATCCATCAGAACACAGGCACTAGTCCCCTCCACCAGGAAGCCTACACAACCCACTGAACCATTCGTATATTCTTGATTAATGGATGCACTATCTGCTTACATCTGTCTGAGGGTAATAATTGTGCTATCCTAAGGTCCTCTTGTGCTTTGTTAACTCTGATTCATTGGCTATAAGCTCTTATGTTTGTTTTTGTTTTCTGTCCTTAATGGAGTTGGCTTTCTCACATTGTTTGGTCATTCCTGAGTGTAATTCATCTTTGCAGTTGAGTTTCTTTCCCAGCTTTAGGGGAGAAGTGAAATGAGCTGTTGGGGCTTATTACTCCCAATGGGTTCCCCTGAGAATAAGGCAGAGGTGGGAGGTGCTTTCTGGTGGCTAGTCAGGGAGTGTATACCTTTCTTCCAGGGTTCTGGGACCTTGCCCGCTTTCTAACACCAATTGCTCCTGTCTAGAGGAAGACACCTTTTGCTGTCTGGATCAAGGAGGGAAGATGTGGGGTTGATGTGTGCTGTCAGCTGCTCCTACCGCACTATTCCAACTGATCACCCTGTAGGCAGCTCCGGGACGTTTCTGGTAGGGGAGCATTTGTGGAGCTGCTCCCACACATTGAGCTAAGGTTGTGATATTTGAGTTCAATCTTTTCTATCATTCTTAGGGATTTTGGTGGACATTGAAGGGGTGGAGACTTGACATGTTTCAATCTGCCAACTTGAAGTAGCACAACTTTTTGGAAATAATTTTGTATCCCTATTACATCCTAGACAAACTCAGGCAAATATGTATCAGGATACAAATATAAGAATATTCAAAGCAGTATTGTTTTTAATTAAAAACTAGAAAAAGTCTCAGTATACACCAACAGTTGAATGAATAAAGTGTGATATAATCATACTTAGAAGTCATAGACTTCATCAGAAACATAATGCAAGCCACATAAGTAATCTTAAATTTTCTGGTAGCCACTTAAAAATAAAAGTAAAATGAAACAGATGAAATAAATGTTAATATCTTTTACTTAACCCTTATATCCAAAATATTATCATTTTAACATGTAATCATTATATACATTATTAATAAGATATTCTACATTTTTTCATATTAAGTATTTAAAAATATCCAAAATATTATCATATCTACATGTAATCAGTATAAAAATTAATGAGAGTATCTACATTTTTTTCCCATACTATTTGAAATCACAATTTGGTTGCTAAATTTTATTACAAATACTTAATCGGTATTTAGATTTCATAAAATTTACAGTCGAAAAAGTATCACATATGCAAATTGTTGCTAACATAAACATTTTCCAATAATTACATTGCGTATCAGTTTTTTAAATTTTCATTTTAAAGTAATTGAAATTAATTAAAAATTCAACTCCTTAGTCACATTAGCCACTTTCAAATACTCAGAAGCCTCATGTAGTTGGACATGCAACACTACATACTACAGGCAAAAATAAAATAATTTTACAAAATAATGTTGAATGAAAGAAGCAATGTGGAAAATAATACATATAATATGATTCCACTTATATAAAGTTCAAGAAGAAGGAAGACTAAACTGTGTTGTTTATAGCTGATAGACAAAAGGCAAAACTACGTTTAAAAAGCAAGGAAATTATTCTTAAAGTCAGGATAGTGGTTCCCTCTAGTAAGTCAGAGAGAGGGTTGTGATTGGAAAAGGGCACACGGGGGGCTTCTGGGATGCTGGCAGGATTCTTTCTTGACATGAATGGTGTTACGTGGGGATCTGTTTTGTAATTATTAAACAGTTGAACAGTTGTTCAATTGAATTACTGAACAGTTATGTATATTTCATGCACATTTTAGTTTTCAAAAAATTTTTAATGGGGGAAAAATCAGATGGCTTCATTTGCCCTGATACAGTTGTGTGTGGGACTTCCCAATAAGGTTTGGGGAAAGAGAGGAGGGAAGAGCAGCTCAGCAACGTTGGTGCCACCCAGAGCTGGGTTCTAACAGACACTTCGTGATCTAGAGAGTAGACATTAACTATATGATTTGGTGGGAAGAGTGGGTGGTGTGTGTGTGTGTGTGTGTGTGTGCACGCGTGCACGCACGTGCACGCACATGCGCACATGCGTGATGGAGAGAGATGGACACAAAGGAGGACGTGAAAAGAAGGTTTAAATGGAAACAGAGCAGAAATCACCGTCTCTAAATTAAATAAGAATTATGTTGTTTAGGTGGCACCATTACCCAGCTTTCCTCCACATATAGGAGTTAGTCCTATGTAGTATATAGTTGTAGTTATTTTGCATTTTGATCCAGAAATAACCTTTTCATTTTTCAGAATTCTCAGTGAAAATTATTTGACTGAATTACATAAGGACTCATTTGAAGGCTTGCTATCCCTCCGATATTTGTAAGTTAATCATATTTACTTATGAGTTCTTACCTATAAAGTAGATTATCTATAAAGTGATTAAGGGGTTCAATGAGATAATGTCTTCAATTTCTTCTAGCAATTAAATTCTACAATTCTGTAAGTCTGTGTAGGGCCCCAGTCCATCACTAGCACTAAATATCTCCTATTCATTTTTAATTTTTTAACTATATAGACAAGATAAAGATAGAAAAATACCCTTTAGTTGTAGAGGAAAAGTGGTAATGAGGTCTGAGCAATTATAGAACCCCATATGAACATTGTTATATAAGTGTTCATATAGTCTCCATCTGTATTTACATTTTGCTTATGACCTATGGATCAGATCTGGCCCACAGTCCATTTTTATACAGCCCATAAGTTAAAAGTGATTTTTAAAGGGCTGTAAATGAGAAAAAAAAGAAACGAAGAAAAATATGTGACAGAGACTGTATGTGGCCTGCAAAGCCTAAACTATTTACTTATCTGGCCTTTACAGAAAAGGTTTGAAAAAGTTGGTTTAGTGAAAATGGAGGAATTAAAGTTAACCTCAAATTGTCACCTATAGGACAAGAAAATCTAGAACACTTACATTAATATGAATGCCATTAACTCCTAACATTGATAATTTAATCTAAATTAAATTAACATTTAAATATTAAATATTTAAGGAGATGAATTATGTAAACAGTATTGTCAAGGGACTTCCCTGGTGGTCTAGTAGTTAAAACTTTGCCTTCCATTGCAGGGGGTGCGGGTTTGATCCCTGGTCGGGGAGCTAAGATCCAACATGCCTCATGGCCAAAAATCCAAAACATTAAAAAAAAGAAGCAATATTGTAACAAATTCAATAAAGACTTTAAAAATGGTCCACATTCAAAAAAAAAATTTTTTTTTTAAGTCAGTATTGTCAAGAACACATTAAGTTACCAAAAGAATAAACTGTTAAGGATTTCAATGCAGGAATTGTGATACCAATATTAAGAATGTTTAAGATGATGGTTAAGTAGTATATTTAGAAATGTTTACACTAAATAAGCATATCAGAAATGCCCCTAAGAAAAATCTCTCCATCCTTTTATTTCTGTTTTTTTGTTTGTTTGTTTTGTTTTTTGGGCCAAGCCAAACAACTTGTGGGATCTTAGTTCCCTGACCAGGGATTGAACCCAAGTCCCCAGCAGTGGAAGTGCCGAGTCCTAACCCCTGGACCGCCAGGGTATTCCCTCTCCAGCTTCTTTATCACAGAAGAAATGCTTGCCTAGTATTTCTTTTAATTTAGGGATAAGGAGATAACTGCGTTTTTGCTATACAAGCTCAGTTTTTGTCCTTTGTCCATGGCATCCAAAGCTGTGTATGTCATTAATACTTACTAAGCCAATTAATGATCCTCTTTAGCAAATAGATTCTTCTTGCAAATATAAAAGGCTTAAGGGAAGTGGGTATAAAGAGCCTCACATGACCCGAAAAATAGTTCTTTTAATTATCAAACCTTCCAAGCCTTAAGGGGCAATCACCTTTATATTAGTCTCTTCTCTGCCATCTGGGCTCCAAACCTTATAAACACAATTTGGAGAAAATCAAATAAGATAACTGCTCAGTGGACTAGGCCCTTCATTACTTCTACTATGAAATACTTTATAATCTGATTATTTCATGTCAGAATAAGTATTCTCATTCTTTAAATAAAAAAAAGCCAATCAATAAAAAATTGAAAAAAGAATATGCTAATAAGCACTATGCCTAGTGTTGTAAACACAAAGATGGGTAAGACAGGATTCCTTTTAGCAACTCATGATCTCACAGGGAAAATAAACATATAATGAGCTCAAACCATAATGACAAAGTGCTGTGGAGGCACCATGAAGTAATAAATCTACATTTCTTTTAAAACAGTCCTTTCCTCCTCCTATTCACTCCCCAGTTATTTGTTGATTTTATAAATATTTGAGTTTGCTTCATGTCCATGCGTTGGCTTTAAACATGATAGACGATGCACATAAGCAGGATCTAGTCCATACTTTGAAGGAGTTTATGCTCAGAGGAAATGCGTTGCAAAAATAGCTATATTTAAAGAGGGAAGTGAATATGGGGAAGGAGAGCTATAAGTTGGTATTGGAACACAAAAGAGGGAAAAATAGACTTCAAATTGGATCAGGGAAGATGTTATTAGAGCAATGCTGTTTAAATGGGAGCACGAAGGGCCATTGGGTATCAATGACAGACATCTTGGGAAGAATAAGCTTGCAAAAGGAAAGTGGGAGAAAGGCAAAACACAGGAAAAATACTCTGAGTACCTGTAGAATACAAGTGGGAAGAGTAGGAGATTAGAGCCAGATCATCTAGGGCTTTGGAGGCCAAGCCAAGGATAACATGCGAAGCTACCATGTTACCACAGCAGTGCTTGAGAAAAAGCTTTGGCCTGCAACAGAACCAACCACTTGGAGGGTTTGTGAAAACACAAGATCCAGCCCCATAGTTACTGACTCAAGAGGTCCAGAGTAGGCTGAATATTTGTATATTCAATAAGCTCACAAGTGATGCTGGTATTTGAGAACCGCTTCCAAAGAATTAATCTGGTGATCGCGTGGAGGATGGCTTAAAAAGGGAGAGGGTGGAGATGGAAACACCAGTCAGAAGACAGTTATACCCATCCAGTGAAATGAGAGACTAAGCTGGAATCAATGGAAATAATATAGTCAGCTATAGTCAAGAGTAGGTATTTTCGAATAAAAGTCAATATGATAGAAAGTGTAATACTGAATTAACATTACATATTAATGATAGGAGTAACTTCCTTTCAAGTTGTTTGCAAGGGTATCTTTTATTTCTTCTGGTAATGAATTGGCCTAGAAAAACAGAACTATACTGGGAAGTGTGTAAATATTCCTTTTAATATTAGAAATTATAATGATATATAGCGATAAAAATTTTGAGCTCATAATCTAGAATTTGATGAGACCACAAAAGGTGGAATCTAATCAATGCTTCTGCTCTCAGGAAAGATGAACTCCAAAATCTATAAAGATCTATAGTTGTATATTTAATTTATGAAGATCCTGAAGGTGAGACTCTTAAGAGAGGTGAAGGCAGGGTTAGGGGCTCTGGAAGGTTCAAATAGTAATTCGTAAGGTTTGGAGTTTAGACCAATGCTTCTTATTTATTATTATCCTTCTAACTTCTACTAGTTATTCCTACTAATTAGATATCTAATAGCTAATTGAGGCAATATTTTCCTTTTACTTTTCATAGAGATTTGTCCTGCAATAAAATACAGTCTATCGAAAGACATACATTTGAACCACTACCTGTTTTGCAGTTTATGTATGTTACAAATATAACTTCATTATATTTGGAATTTTTATAAAGCTTAATTTTTTATAAAATTAATTTGTTACTCATTTGAAATATGATTAAAATTACTACTAATATTTTGTAGCAAATCCTTTTTGTCTCTAGTGAAGATTAGTGTAAAAATTATTACACAGATCAGAGTGAATAATTATAGAGCTGTGGCTCTCAACCAGGGTGATTTTGCACACAGGTGATATTTGGTAGTGTCTGGAGACATTTTTGCTTGTTAGAACTGTATATGCTACTGGCATCTAGTGGACAGAGGCCAGAGATGCTACTAAACATCCAACAGTTTACAGGAGAGCCTCCCACAGCAAAGAATTATCCAGCCTAAAATGTCAGTAGTGCTGCCTTTCTAGAGAAATAAAGATCACTTAACACAAGTATTTAATGAGCATTTACTATTTTGTATCTAATGCACCACATATATAATCATGAAAGTATAAATCATGTCTTCCACAGTGAGATTTCTTTAGTGTATGGAGGGAGTAGTGATGTTATGTTTCATCATATATAAATTAGAATTATTGCCAAAGGATAAATGTTCTGAAAGAATACATATTTTTCTTCTTCTTTTGCTTGTGTCTTTTTTTGTAGAAATCTTGGTTGCAATTTACTCACAGAACTGAGCTTTGGAACGTTTCAGGCCTGGCATGGAATGCAGTTTTTACACAAGTTGTAAGTGAAATAGAAGATGAATACATGTAAAAAACTGTGTGTAAAAGCAATCATGCAGTTATTGGTTAGCTGGGGTGTAAATAAGCCCAGTATGAATTCTGGAAAGTATGTCTTGAGAGCCATTTATTATTTTTTTTAAACGAGGAAACTAATGTACAAAGAGGCCAAGAGACTTGTGTAACTCATATATATGAAACGCTCTGCTTTCCATAGTACTTATCTTTGGCACAGGCAATAAAAGGCACCAAGCAAAAACACTCAAATTAGCATTGTCATGGAATCCCACTGATGCCTCTCCAATATGCGAATGGTCCATGAAGTTCCACTTTTGAATTTAACTTTGATTCCTGCTCATGTGCAAAGTTCCTAACTGCTTAAAATGTATGCAATACAGAGCTGCAAAGAACTAAGTTTAGCACCGAATTCTTCAGGGAGCAAAAGCTGTGGGAGCTTCCCCAACCATTATTAGCTCTTTTAAATGGTAAAGCAGAAAGAATTCCTGAACACCCACCACAGGGCTTGCCCAGCCAACCAGAACATTATTTTTCAAAAAGCATATATCTCTGAAGTGAATTATCTGTGGTCAATAGAAACCTTTGAGGTATGGAAAAAGACGTTGTTTGGGTTCAGCTGTAGTGTGAAAAATATATAGAAAATACATTGCTGTAGCCTAATTCAATATACTTTCTTTGCTGACTACTCTTCAGTAAGAAGTGTGGGCTTTACACACCTACAGCTCAAAAATTCTGTGATTTCTCATGACACAAGGAAATGATAGTGGGTACATTCAATGGCCTGAAGGCGATTTTAGACTCAAGGTAAAGAGCTCTTCTACACCTAGCTTTGGAAAAGACTCTCTTCCCTGTCTCGTGGTTCAGAAATCCAGTTTCACACAGTTCACACATTTTGGGTTAATGAAAGTGTTGAGGCTGTGTCTGGAGCTGGATTAGCAATTTCTGCAGATGCCTATCTTTAGCGGCCTCCTTCCTTTCCCTTGTTAGTTTGCCGATGCCTACCTTTGGGAGAGAGCACCAAGGGTCAGTTTTTCTTTTGCCAGCACATCGGAGAGCAGGCTGATGAGGTCCCTTCACCAGGAGGTTTTAGTAGCATCAATACAACGTCTTAAACTCACCACCTTTCCTAAACATCCTATAACAGCAAGAGTTCCTTATAAGAATCAGAGTTTCACTATAGTTATGTAGGCAACACAGGACAATACATTGTGGAAATCAATCAATCAATCAATCACAGTTTAAAAATTAATGAATTCATTCCAAAACATTCACTGAGTGCCATGCCCACTGTGTGTCAGTACTCTATTAAGTGCTGGGGATACAAAGATGTATAGGGCAAGGACTTTGTCCCCAATAAGCTTTCATACTGGAAGGAAAAAGATGGATGTTCATGGGAAAACTTATATGAGAACCTTCTAGCATCTATGCAGCAGGGTAACAAGGTGAGGTAAGGGTGTGATGAAGTAGAAAATGAGTGGTAGGTTAGAAAATATTTGTAATGGAAGAGGCACCAACTTGTTCCTTTTGAATTTGTGTTCCTCTTAAATGACAGAAAAAGGTAGTGAAAGAATCAGAACTATCTGGTGTTGGAAATAAATTAGTACTGTACTCCTAAAACTCATTCACAGTTACTTTCAAATGATTGTCACAGTATAGTAAGTCTTTGTTTTGGGCTAAGTCTTTCTAATAGACAAAGCTAATTTGCTTCAGGAAACATTTGCCATGGTGAGACATAAGCTTTATTGCATCTCTTTGCAAAGGCAAGCCACCAAGGGAAGACACCACCCTCGAGTTAAGTCATTTTACTACCTATAATGACACATTACTGGGGTGTTTATAAGTTGCCTGCATTAAAAAAGTTTGGAAAAGGGCCCCAGCTGAGATGGATTTATCATGAATTCAATGAAGCTTAGGCTTCAAGGCTCCTCACTTGCATAGGTCACTTCTAAGGTTTTGAGAGGGGTCCTAGTGATTTTTGTATTCATAACTTTGCATGTTTTTATTAGATAGGATTTCCTAAAGTAGATGAGCTTCAGGCCCCACAAAACCTTGATTCATCACTGGGTTTCAGGTAATTACAAGTCAGTAGGTTTCTTGAATGAAGCCTCTATGTTATTGACAAACATCAGGTGAAGTAGTTAGCAGTGTGGTAGTGTATTTTAAATCCGAAATCTACTTCAAAAATGAGCCAAGAGCTTATTAATTACTAAAGTACCACTTTTTGAATGTTGGTAGTAATCATATCTCTTTCAGATAAAATCAGGAATGAAATATATTATGGAAAACCAGCAGTGGTTGACAATCCTAAATGTTAAGGATACTTTTTTTTCTGACTTTAAAGTGTTTGTCCTTCATTCACCTATGCAGGTCCAGACTGATGGCTTATTTTTAAAATTCTTTTAGTTACTTCATTGGTTCTAACAATACAAGCTCCATGATTTTAGAAAATGAAGGACTCTACAATGTATAAAGACTATATAACTTAACCAAACAGAGCACATTCACATGCTGGCTTCTCTGTGGTACATCAATATTGTAACAAGAACATAAGCACTAGGAGAGAATAAGAGGAAAATCAAAGCCTTATCCCTATTGAATTATTTACCCCATTGTTGAGAATATCAATGAGGGAGGTGTGGCCACCCTATGAAGGCAAATTGAGCTGCGGTCACAGAGCCGCCCTAATGCTCCCCCAGTCAACTATCATTGGTTTCCTTTAGATGGCTATGTACACACAAAAGCTTACATACTTCGGGATGTTGTCATCACTTTTTGCTATGTACTAGAATCCTGGCAGCTTCTCAGATTTAGAAAGCCATAAACGCTAAAAACAAACATAATTTGAGTCTGCCCTTTGGGGTGATTCAGGGTGCCTGTTTTATTTGTAATAGTTCAAAATTTTGAGATTGTCACACCTAGCAACTATTATACTTTTCTTCTGCCAACTGCGTCTTATTCTTCCCACCTGTAGTATTTTCTCCCATTCTACATGTTTTTTTCACTTTCTTGATAGTGTCCTTTGAAGAACAAAACTTTTATAAAATCCCATTCATCTATTTTTCTTTTGGTTGTTTGTGTTTCTGGATCATATCTAAGAAACTGTTGTCTAATGCAAGGTCATAAAGATTTATTCCTGTGTTTTCTTCTAAGAGTTTTATAGCCTTAGCTCTTACATGGATATTTGTACCATTTGGAGTTAATTTTCATATATGGTGTGAAGTGTAGGAGTCCAGCTTCATTATTTTATGTGTGGATGTACAGTTGTCCCAGTATCTTTTGAAAACACTGTTCTTTCCACAATGAATTGTTTTGGCACCCTTGTTGAAAATCAATCGACCATAATTATGAGGGTGTATTTCTATACTGTCAATTCTGTTCTATTGATTTACATGTCTGTTCTTATTCCAGTACCACACTGTGATTGCAGTAGCTTTGAACTGAGTTTTGAAACCGGGATGTGTGAGTCCTCCCACTTTGTTCTTTACCAACATTGTTTTGGTTATTCTGTTTCCTTCAATTGCCATATGAATTTTAGAATTAGCTTGGCAATTTCTGGAAAGAGGTCAGCTGGGATTTTGATAGGAATTGCAATGGAACCATAAGTCGATTTGGGAAGTAGTGAAATTTTAATAAGATTATCTTCCAGTCCATGAATCCAGCATGTCTTTATATTTATTTAGATCTTCTTCAATTTCTTTCAACAGTTTTGTACTTTTCAGTGTGAATCTTGTGCTTACTTGGTTAAATTTTTCCCTAAGTATTTTATGTCTTTTGATGCCGTTACACATGGAATTGTTTTCTTAATTTCATTTTTGGATTACTCATTGCTGGTGTGTAGAAATAATATTGATCTTATATCCTACAACCTTGCTGAACTCATTTATTAATGCTAACAGTTATTTTCCTAGATTCCCAGGAATATGTCTTGTGGTCTTCCAGTTTCCCAGGAATATATTGGCACATTTCAAAGTCTCTGTGGACATCTCATTCCTCAGCTTTTATTTTTAAGCTTTTCGGTTGGGCTGTTTTTTGCCCCAAACTGTTATCCATTGCCCAATGCAACTGCCATGTTAAAATATTTGCCTGAAAATGTTTTCCAGAAATTACCCGTGAGGTGTGGCTTTTCTTACTAGGCAGCTCTCAGTCAGGTCAAAGGCAAGCCTTTCAAGTGAGGTCTTCCAGGGGACCACCAGACATGTAAAACAATGACAGTTCTTTGGGAATGAGTCTTTGAAGGCCCTTCCAGTCCTTGTTGCTCCTTCTGGTACCAGGGATGTGGGCTGTTTTTCAAGGCTACCACTGGCATGGAGAGCAAAGGTCAAGGACAAGTTCAAGCAACAAAGATCTCATTGTTCTTACAGAAATGAATTTGTTTTCCTTTAATAAATTGCTCCCCAAATTGCTACAAGCATGTTGGTTAAATTTCCACAGTTCAGAAGAAGTTGATTCTGGCTATTTTTGCCAGTTTTGTTGTTGTTGCTATTGTTATTGTTGCTTCTATGGAGGGATGAATTTTCAGATGTCCTTCCTCCATCATTTTTACTGATTTTCCTGCAATATTTTTTAAAATCTCTAAAGTCACAATGACCATAGGCTAATTAAATATTTATCATGGGAGATGATTAAGGAAAAAATAAATAAAAAGAGAAATAAATAAATAAAAAGAAAATATAATTCTTATAGAGACTTTCTCAGATGGGTAGATGAAGTTTGAAAAGGTATTTCTATATTTAGTGCTCTCAAAATTAAGGTTAAAGTAACAGATGTTTTAAAACTCCCCCTTTTTTTTCATTCAGGTTAAACACAGACTTTAGAGTCAGAACTGAGTTCAAATTCCAGCTCTGCTTCTTACTAGCTTGATGACTTAGGACAAGTTATGTAACTTCTCTGGGCCTCAGTTTCCTCATTTGTACAATGGGGTAATATGTCTATCACATAAGGTTACTATGAGGATTAAATGTTAAATGCTGATCACAGATGGCTGGCAACCCAAAAGATACTAGTTTTGATAATTATCTTTATAATATTCTGCAAAAGTATGTTAATAATTCTTGAGTAGAGTTAACCTAAAATCGGATATTCTTTCCTTTCTTTCTGTTTTTCCTGGTTTTTTTTTCCCCCCTTATTTGTTTTAAAGAACTGAGAAAAAAAAAAGAAAGCACTAAGAAGAAAATCTATTCCAGCATTTTGGAATAAAATTTTGTTCCCCAAAATTAATTTGTTTATTTTATTCATATATAAACAAAATGTTATTTATTCAGCAAATGTTTATTAAATACCTAGCAAATATTAGGCACTATGTCAGGTACAGAAATAATAATGACAATAAAGTGTGGTTCCTGCTCTGAAGTTGCTGACAGTCTAGGACAGTGACAAGTAAACAGGTGATTACATACACAGTAACAAAGCTATGATACAAGAATACACATGGGACTCTGTGATGGGAGTATGGCTTTCACCATTTCCTCTTGGATTTGTCTCTTCTTCTTTCGATCCAGAACCAAGGAATTAGCCCTATTTTTACCTTTTACTGGGTAGTTTAAATCATGAAATTTTAAAAAATTTGTAGAGATGAAAGAAAAACACCTTGAATTATGGAGGACAGTAGAAATAGTACTTTTTTTACAGAGCAGGGGCTTCCTACCAGCATAGTCACTTCTTGGGTTTTTAACCTGAAAAGTTCTTTGGCATATTTTTCTATGCTAGCCACTGTTTTTCTATTTTTTTGTTTGTTTCTCTTCTCAATTTTATCATCTAGAGTCCTGGGTAGTTCCCAATGAAAGAGTGTTTTACAGATTCTAAGGGTGATTTATAGGTAAAGACAGAAAATGATTTTTTTTTAACTTTCAAGTTCCATACCAAAAAAAATGAATATAAGCTTTCATGGATGTAATTGAAAATGCAGATAATTTTAATTCCATCCCATTTTTCAGAATTCTCAATCAGAATCCTTTGACAACAGTTGAAGATTCTTATCTTTTTTAATTGCCAGCATTAAAATATTTGTAAGTATTGCAACAGTTTCATGGCTCATGAGATAATTTCTGCTCTTTTTTACTTTCGTCAAAGATTGAGTACTCTGGCTAAAAAGTCATAATTTAGATTTTAACTGGGTTACTGAAAATAAGACTTATTGGCAAAGAAAACGGTTAAAAATATATATATATATGGGTAAGACAGCCAGCAGAGAATGAGAACAGTGTTGAAGAACACATATAGATATGGAATATGTAGATGCATGTAGGAATATTATTTATTCCAGAAAGCAAAAAGGAATAAGGGGTACATTATTTTTTTAAAAAAGAGTGATCAAAAGAGGTAGATGCAATTGAAAATGAGAAGTAAGGATAATAAAAAATGATTGTACTGTTCAGCACCAAGGTCATTCATTTGATGATGCAAATTTAAATTTCTTCAATAAGAGCTCTTTAGAATTATCATCTATGGCAAGTAAGAAGCCAGAACTGAAGTAATCACATGTTAAGTATCTTTTTAAGTTTAGAATTTTTGTCTGGGTTTTATATCATGCATGTTTGGGCTTCTCCTTCAGAGACATGGGAATAACACAAGTGTCACTTACAACAATTGAAAGCATCCTCATGATGACCCTTGAATTGGAAAAAGTGTAAGTTGATTTTTCTTACATTTATTTTCACTCAATTGTTTTTTTACGTTTGTTTTATTATTTTCTTAAGTAGGTTTATTTATGTATACTTTTCATTTAACAAAATACACTATTTTTAAATATACAGTGTGATGTGTTTTGACAAATGTATAGTTCTGTAGCCACCACCACATTTGAGGTAAAGAAAACTTCTGCCCTCCCAAAAGACCCCTCATGTCCCTTTGTAGTCAATCCATCCTCCTCCCACTACCAGCCCCTGGCAACCACCGATCTGATTTTTGTCCGTATACTGTTGCCTTTTCCATAATGTCTGAAATCATGTGGTATGTAGCCTTTTGTTTTTGGCTTCTTTCACTTACCAGTCTCTTTGGAGCTTCATCTGTTTTGTTGCACCTGTCAGTAGTTCATTCTTCTTTATTGCTGAGTAGTATTCTAGTTGTGTGGATACACATTTTGTGTACACATTTGTCATGTGATGAACATTTGAGTTTTTTCTAGTTCTTTGGCTATTATGAACAAAGCCTCTGAAAACACTCACATGTGTGTGTGAACAAATGTTTTGTGCGATCATATGTTTTCATTTCTTTGGGGTAAAATACCTAAGGGTGGGATTGCTTCATCATATGCTAAGTGCATTTTTAACTTTTTAAGAAACTGCTAAACTGTTTTCTAAAGTGCCTGTGCCTTTTTGCTTTCCCACTAGCAGTCTATGCGCGTTTCAGTTGCTCCACATCATCACCTGATCCTTACGTTTGTTTTAAAAAAAAATTTAGCCTTTCTAGTAGGTGTGCAGTTGTATCTCATAGTTTTTGCCAGATTTTGCATTTCTGTAATAGCTGATGATGTTGAGTGTCTATTCATGTGGAAATATCTTTTTAAATGAAGTGTCTGTTCAAATCCATTTTTTAATTGGACATTTATATTGAGTTTTAAGAGTGCTTTATATAAAAAGCAATGGAAAAAGTCCTTTTTCTCACATATGTGTTTAGTAAATATCTTCTCCCAGATTGTGACTTATCTTCATTGATTAAAGTGTCTCTGAAGACTAGAAGTTTTAAATTTTTGATGAACTCTAATTTAGCAATTTTTCTTTTTTTCATATTTATTTAATTAATTTATTTGGTTGTGCTGGGTCTTAGTTGCGGCAGGTGAGCTCCTTAGTTGCGGCTCATGGGTTTCTTAGTTGTGGCATGCAAACTCTTGGTTGCATCATGCATGTGGGATCTAGTTCCCTGACCAGGGATCGAACCCGTGCCCCCTACATTGGGAACTCGGGGTCTTAACCTCTAGGGAAGTCCCTTAGCAATTTTTCTTAGATGGTTTGTGCTTTTTTGTGTCTTATCTAAGAAATCTTTTTGTGAGACCCCATTGTGTAACCCCAAATCACAAAGATTTTCTCCTATGTTTTCTTCCGGAAGTTGTATAGTTCCATTTAGGTCTGTGATTCATTTTGAGTTAATTTTCATATATGTTGTGAGGGAAGGGTCAAGTTTCATTTTTTTGCAGTTTAAAAACTATTTCTGTAGGACCCTATTGTGACAGTTTATTACACAACCTACTGCACCTTATACTGTGCCATCCCCCCTCCGATATGGCAAGCTAGTAGAAACTTTCTGTTATACCAAGGCTAGATGAGGGGATTGCATGACATTAGTATGGGGAAAGGACCCTGCATTTAGCAGTCTGTTCCAACCATCTTTGTCAGGTCAGCTGACAAATGACTGTCTTCACCACGCCGTCACACATTGGTCACTGCTCTAGCCTCATCTTCCTCAGCCTCCCACAGCATCTGCCCCAATTGCAATCCCTCTCTTGTCAGCTAGATGCCCTCCTCTCTGGATATTAAAAATTATTTCCCTATGTAACTACAATACTGTTAACACACAGTATTGAAGAAATTAACTTCCTACACAATAATATTACCTAATAAAGAGTTGCTATTCAAATTTCCCCAGTTGTCTCATATAATTTTTCTTTTAACAGCTTTTTGAGGTATAATTGACATATAATAATCTCTGTTCACACACACACATACATACACAGCAGGAAGACATCACCAAAATCAAAATGTCCATCACCTCAGAAAGTTCCATAATGTCTCTTTGTAATTCTTTCTACCCATCGTTCCTTGCCCTTCCCAATCGCCATGCAACCATTGATCTGTTTTTTGTTTGCATTTTCTAGAATTTTTTGTTAATGGAATCATACAGTGTATACTTTTTTCTAACTGGTTTCTATCTCAGCATGATTATTTTAGTCTTCATCCATATTGTTGTAGATACCAGTAATTAATTTCTGTTTATTGCTGAATAGTATATTTCTGTATTACGATTTGGATGGAAGTTCTTTTATTTATTTATTTTTTGAACCTGGATGTTCAGTTGTTCCACACCATTTGTAGAAAATCCTGTCGTTTCTCCACTTAAATGCCTTTGAACCTGAAAGTCAGTTGTCCACATCTCTCTACTTCTGAACTTTCTCTTCTGTTCCTTTGATCTTTTTGTCTATCTTTACACTACTATCACAATGTCTTGAAAGTGTAGCTTCATAAGCGTTGAAATCAGTTACTGTTAGTTCTTCAACTTTGTTCTTTTTTAAAGTTGTTTTAGTTATTCTAAATTTTATTTCCATATGAATTTTAGAATTAGCTTGTAAATTTCTATAGAAAAGCCTACTGGGATTTTGATCTATAAATCAATTTGGGGAGAATTGATGTCTTAACAATATTAAATCTTCTGATCCATGAATACATTATATCTCTCCATTTATTTAGGTCTTCCTTAATTTCCCCTAGCAATATTTTACAGTTTTCAGTGTGCAAGTCTTACATCTTTTGTCAGATTTATTCTAAGTATTTTATATGTTTGATTCTGTTATAAGTAGTATTTTAAAACTTTGCTCTCTGATAGTTTGTTGAGATAAATTAATCTTTTCGTATGTTGATCTTGTACCCTGCAAACTTGATAAACTCATTTATGAGTTCCAGTAGCATTTTTGTATATTCTATCAGGTTTTCTACATAATCATGTTATCTGCAAAGATAGTTTTACTTCTTCCTTTCCATTCTGAATATCTCCTTTCTTTTTGTTGCCCTATTGCACTGGCTAGAACCTTCAGTGCAATGTCAAATAGAAGTAATGAGAGCAGACATCCTTGCCTTTGTCCTGATCCTGGAGAGAAAGTACTTTGTCCTTCAGCATTAAATATGATGTTAGGTTTTTTGTAGAAGTCATTTATCAAGTTGAGGAAGTCTCCTTCCATTCCTAGTCTACTGAGGGCTGTTTTTTCCTTTAATCAGGAATGGATGTTAGATTTTTTCATTCTTTTCCTTCATCTATTGCAATAATTATAAGATTTTTCTCTTCTTTTCTTTACTTAATTTATTTATTTTGGGGTGAATTGGGTCTTCATTGCTGCACGCAGGCATTCTCTGGTTCTGGCAAGCAGGGACTACTCTTCATTGGAGTATGCAGGCTTCTTATTGCGATGGCTTCTCTTGCTGCAGAGCATGGGCTGTAGGTGCACGGGCTTCACTAGTTGTGGCACATGGGCTCAGTAGTTGTGGCTCACGCGCTCTAGAGCACAGGCTCAGTAGTTGTGGTGCACGGGTTTAGTTGCTCCGTTGTATGTGGGATCTTCCCGGACCTGGGCTCAAACTCATGTCCCCTGCACTGGCAGGTGGATTCTTAACCACTGCCCCACCAGTGTTGTCCTGATTTTTCTTTTTTATTGTACTAAGTTGGGTAAATTGATTTTCAAATATTAAACCAACCTTTCATTCTTGAGATAAACCCCACTTGGTCATGATGTATCGTCTTATTATATATTATTGTATTTGATATACTAAAATTTTATTAAGAATTTTTGTCTGTGTGTTCATGTGAGATATTGGTCTATAGATTTCTTGTAATGTCATTGTCTAATCTTGATACAGTGAAAGTTAGCCTTATAAAAAAGTTGGGAAGTATTCCCTTCTCTTCAACTTTCTGGTAGAGTTTGTGTAGAATTGGCATTATTTTATTCCTTAAATGTTCAGTAGAATTTATCAGTTAAGCCACCTGGACTTGAAGCTTTCTTTGTTGGAAGGTTTTACACTGCACATCCAATTTCTTTAATATCTTTATTCTTTAATAAACTTTAGTAGTGCATGTCTTTCAAGGAATTTTTTCCATTTCATCTTGAATTTATTGGTATAAAGTATTCTATAATATTCTCTTATTATCCTTTTACTATCTATAGTATTTTTCTGTTTTCCATTTTATTTATTTCTACTTTGATCTTTATTGTGTTCTTTCTTCTCTTATTCTGTGATAAACTTGCTCGCATTTTTCCAGTTTAAGGTGGAAGTTGAGGAAGCTGAGTACAGCGTTAGCAATATCCCACATGTTGACATATTATGTTTTCACTTTCAGTGAATTCAAAATAGTTTCTGATTTCCCTTTTGATTTCTTCTTTGACCAAAAAGTTACTCAGAAGTGTGTTGTTTAGTTTCCAAATATTTGGAGATTTTTCGAATTTGTTAATATCTAATTTAATTCCATTGTGGTCAGAGACATATATCGAATGCCTAAAATCCTTTAAAAATTTTTTAAGTATTTTTTAATTTATTTTTGCTGCGTTGAGTCTCTTTTGCTTCACCTGCGCTTTCTCTAGTTTCGGCGAGCAAGGGCTACTCTTCATTGGGGTGCTCCAGCTTCTAATTGGATGGCTTCTCTTGTTGCAGAGCACAGGCTCTAGGTGCATGGGCTTCATAGTTGTGGCACATAGGCTCTAGAGTGTGGGCTCAGTAGTTGTGACGTACGGGCGTAGTTGCTCCACGGCATGTGGGATCTTCCCAGACCAGGGATTGAACCCATGTCCCCTGCATTGGCAGGCAGATTCTTAACCACTGAACCACCATGGAATTCCCAATTCCCGTATTCTTAATCTTTTGTGTAGATCCATATTCCAATCTGGTGTCATTTTCCTTCTGCCTGAAAATACTTCTTTTAACATTTCTTAGTGAAAGTCTACTAGTAATGAATTCTTTCAGCTTTTGTATGTCTGAAATAGTCTTTATTTTTCTTTTGTTTTGACACATCTGGGTATAGAATTCTAGCTTGATAGAATTCAATTCACTGCTTTAAAGATGTGATTCAGCTGAGTTCTCATTTACATTGTTTCCAACAAGAATTCTGCTGTCATTGTTATCTTTGTTCCTCTGTACGTAGTGTATAATTTTTTCCTCTGGCTGCTTTTAATTTTTTTTCCTTATTGCATGTTTTGAGCAATTCGATTATTTTTTGTGCCTTGCTGTAGTTTTTTCCATGTTTATTATGCTTTAAGTTCATTGATCTTCTTGACTTAGTGGGATTATAGTGTTTATGAATTTGGAAAAATTTTGGATATTATTTCTTCAAGTTGTTGTATTTTTCCTCTCCTTCATGGACTCTAAGTACGCATGTATTAGGCCACTTGAAATTGTTGCACAACTCACTGATGCTCTATTCATTTTTGTTGTTGTTTTGTTTTGTTACTCTTTTTGTTTCATTTTGGACTGTTTCTATTACTATGCCTTAATGTTCACTGACCCTTTCTTCTGAAGTGTCTAATCTGCCATTAACCTCGTTCAATGTCTTTTTAATTTAGACATAGATTTTAATTTCTAGAAGCTCAATTTAGGTCTGTTTTACATTTTCCATGCCTGTACATAACATTTTCAGTATTTAGAATGGGTTTTTTAACATGTGAAATACAGTTATAGTAACTTTTCTTCAGGTATAATAACTTGTAAAATGTTCTTTTCTGCCAGTTCTAACATCTGTATAGATTACGGGTTAGTTTTGATTGATTGCCTTTTCCCCTCACTATGGGGCATATTTTCCTACTTCTTTGCATGCTTGGCAGTTTTTCATATGATCTCAGATATTGTGAGTTTTAGTTTCTTGTGTGCTATATATATTTATATTCCTGTAAAATACTTGGGCTTTGTTTTGGGTGAAATTAAGTTACTGAAAACAATTTTATTCTTTTAGGTCTAGCTTTTAAGATTCGTTGGGTAGGAGTCCAAGTAGCCTTTAGTCTGGAGCTCATTATTTGCAACTACTGAGACAAGTCCTTTCTGAGTATCATGAGGTTTTCCAGTCTGACTTATAGGAACAGGTACTATTCCTACAACCCTGTGTGATATCCAGTTATTATTAATCCTTTCATGTGGTTCTTTTCCTGGCATCAAGTAATTCCTCACACAAATGTACTGACCAATACTTTGTTGAATTCTCAAGAGATCCCTCTGCATATCTCCAGACTTCTTTGTCTGTGTACTTCTTTTCTCTCTGATACTCTGCTTTGTGAACTCTAGTTACCTTGGTTTTCCCAAACTCTTAGCTCCATTGCCTCAGTCATGGAGTCCACCAGTCTCTGCCTGGACTTCTCTTCCCTGTACCATGACCTGGAAACTCTCTCAGAGAAGTAAGTTAGGGCAATTATAGGGATCACTTCATTTGTTTCCCATCTCTTGCGGAATCACTGAACTTTATTGCCTGAGGTCCAGTTTCTTGAAACCTTTTGTTTCATATGTTCTGTTTGACGTTTTCATTGTTTCAGGTGGGAGGTTAAATTGGTCCTTGTTACTTCATCTTGGCCAGAAGCCAATAATATTCTTTAAGTCTGTTTTGTTTTGATACAGCATCCAATTAAAGATTAGGCATTGCATGTTACGTCTTTGTTTCCTTTAATCTAGAATATTTCCTTACCATTTTCTTTTTTTTTGGTCTTTATGACATTGGCATTTTTGAAGAGTCTAAGCCAGTTGTCTTGTATATTTCCCCACAATCTGGATTTGTCTGTTTCCTCATTAGATTCAAAGTAAACATTTTGTGGAAGACTACTATATAGGTGATGTATTCTTCATACTTCAGCACTTCAGGTGGCCCAGTGCTAAGTTTGATCACTTGATTAATGTGGTATCTTCCATATCTCTCCATTGTAAAGTTATTTTTCCCCTTGGTAGTTGATAAAATGTGGGGTGATACTTTGGGATCAGTGAAGATCCTACTTTCAAACAACTCTTCACCCAACTGTGCATCAATGATAATCCTTGTCTGAATCGATTATTACATTGATAGTTGCAAAATGACACTTTTCTTATTCTATCATTCCTTGTGCATTTATTAGCTGACATTATTCTATAAAGAAGAGTTCCTCAATTTTCATTTGAGTATCATTATGAACTCATATGCTTTTTTAAAAATTAACTATGTTATACCTTATTATAATGATAATGTTATTCTTTAGAACGTTCCTTTTGTCCAGATTTGGCCAATGCGATCTCTGTTATTGTTTAACCACACGATGCTTTTTTATTACTAAAATAATTTGTAATATATTACTACTCACAGATAGGACCTGAGAAAGGGACTACAGAAGGTGCGGCCTTATTCAGACTCTTCTTAGAAGTCTGCCTTCTTCCTGTGTACTCTCAACCCAAAGTGAGGATTTCGGGTTGGAAGGATATACTTCTGAATTAAACTACAGATCAATGTCACCCAATTCTAATCCCTATTCCCTTTTTCCTAGGCATACCATACGTACTGCCGTCCTCATCCTTCTGTTGGGCACCTCTCTCCTCCTCTATATTTATTTACAACAGTCAAGAGCAGCAATTGTCCAACCGGCGCCTATTCAGTTCTCCAGTCCATATGCCCCAAGAACTCCTTTTTGCACAGGTCTGTGGTGGCCTTGGCCTACCTCTTCTACCTACTCAAGTAACTCTTTTACCACGAATTTAATTACCTATGTTTCCATTTATAGGATCTTACCTAGTTGTATGGCCTGCTGCCTCTGCCAATTTAAAAATATTATTGAGGTTGTCTGTAAGACAGTCAAGCTGTGTTGTGACAGTGGATGCCTGACAGAAGTCACACGGTGTGGTGAGTCTCAATTGTGGGATAATAAATTTTTAATTTAATATTTTAATTTTTAATCAATGATGATAAATTTTAAAATTCATGATGTAATTGCATTATCTTAATTCATACATTCAGAGTTCCAGCTCCCTAAGTTTCTAAGAACTACCCCCTTGCTAAAAATCAGATTCTTGGTTACATTATTAAGCTAATAATAGCTCAGTTACATTGTTAGCTTAATAATGTAACTGATGCGCATACATAAAGGAACAAGAGAAAGGAATGGATGGGGGAAGGGAGTTAACATTACTGGCCTCATATCCTATTCTGTGCCCTCTGCAAATGAGAACTTATTGATATAGTGCCTCACAGTTTGTAAACTGATTTTATATACATTAGGTCTCAAGTACCCTTTGTCTTATATGACAGGTGTAAATATATTTTTGTTTATTTTGTTTGTTTCTGAAATTTTATAAAGAGTACAAGTGATGCTGTTTTATGTCCTATTTGGAGCCTGAGAGTTTCTGGTTCCATAACCAGAAGCTGCTACCTAGCCCTCCTAATGGAATGGAGAGCTAGTTTATTCTTTGACTGTCCAGGTCTGAACTTGCTCTGAATCTCAAGCTTTTCTATCCACAGACACTCAGGGGCTTTCAACTATTTTTCTATATATTAGATTTATTGGCACTAACTTTTTAAATAGCGCAGGCTCGCGTTTCCTGGAGCAGTCCGCTTGCGCCCCGAGCAGCGCACGTGCGGTGACTGTGGGATGGTGCAGTTGGTACTTTTTGCGGTTCCCATCGGGGGTGACAAAACCTTGCTGGTGTGGGAGCTGAGCTCTGGACCTACGGCGGAGACCTTGCAAGTGAGACGAGCCGGAGTGGAGGGCTGGGTGGAGGAAGCCGCCCCGCGCCCCAGTAACTGGGCACCCCGGGGTACTGCTTCAGTACCTCATTTGCCTGTGGTCTCCGCTGAGAGGATTCTTAGTTCTAGAGCCGACCTGAGCAGTCAGCTCACCCCCATAGATTTTTGAGAGTTAGTCCCCAACAAAAGGCATTGCCTCCTAATGCTTCTCGAAGCTTAGGATTTCAGAGGGAAACTTGTTCATGAAATGAGAAGTGTGTGGAGTTGCAGCCTCAGCACAGTTACCTGTGGCAAAGGGCTGAGGGAGTATAAGGGAATGGGCGGTTTGGTTTCCTGGGCCTGAAATTTCCTGCACTTACTTAGCGTGGGACCACCCTACAGCATTCTCTGTTCACAGTCTTCTCACAGTTTTGTGTTCTGTATTCGGTCCGAGTCTTCCCAAACACAGCAGTGGGTGGTCCTGGGTTCTATGCCATCATCAAGTTTTATTCATCAAGGGATGCCCACAGAGCCCAAAAGGCATGCGACCAGAAGCAGCTTTTTCACACATCTCCAGTGAAGGTGGGTCCAAATGTGGAATTCTTCGCTCTACTGGGATGAAGTGCTGAATTTAAAACTAATAGGCCATCGGGAATTCCCTGGCGGTCCAGTGGTTAGGACTCTGCACTTTCACTGCTAAGGGCCCAGATTCAGTCCTAGGTCTGGGAACTAAGATCCCGGAGCGGGGGGCGAGGGTGGAAAGGCCACCGTTTGTACAGCACTGTGGTGTACAGAATACACTCAGATGCACTGCTCCACTGATCTCCCAGTTCCACAGTTGTTTCTTTTTTGTTAGATGAAGAAACTCGAACTCAGGATGGTTAAGTGACTTACTTAAGGTTCATGACAGTAAATGTGGAAACTAGAGGGCAAACCCAAACTTAACTGATGTTAAACCCCATGTCATTTTATGCTGCCCCTTAATTTAAGAAATACTCACAAGAGTCTTCCTTATATTTACTTTTATGTGGATTTTAAATGTGTGAGGGTGACAATTTTTTAAAATTAGTTAATTAATTAATTATTTATTTCTGGCTGCGTTGGATCTTGTTGCTGCGTGCTGGCTTTCTCTATTTGCGGAGAGCGGGGGTTGCTCTTCGTTGTCATGCGTAGGCTTCTCATCGCGACAGCTTCTCTTCTTGCGGAGCACGGGTTCTAGGCACACGGATTTCAGTAGTTGTGTCTCACAGGCTCTAAAGCACAGGCTCAGTAGTTGTGGCACACGGGCTTAGTTGCTCTGCGGCATGTGGGATTTTCCTGGACCAGGGATCGAACCCGTATCCCCTGCACTGGCAGGCGGACTCTTAACCACTGTGCCACCGGGGAAGTCCCGAGCTTGACAAACTTTTGTCAGATGTAACATAAGGGAGGCTTCATCATCATCGTTCTCAAACTGCCTATTCAAAACTCCCTTCAGATTCCAGAAAATGGTTAAAATATTCTTTAATGCATTGTAGAAACCTTATTCCATATGAACATGCCATCCAATTTTACTTTCCCAGATTAACATTTCATTATGTTAAGGACCTTTTCAATTCCTCTGAATAAGTGAGTGAGGCTTAGGTTTCCCAGACCTTTCCCTTTATAATTGTGTGTCTTCTCGGATTGGCTTCTTGCTCTGGCTACTTCCTACTGACCTTGCTGCCTCTTCTCACCCATATTTCTTTACTCACTGATTTCACCTTTATTGAATCTGAGAACTCTCCTCAGATGGGACTCCAGGTACACTACCTCCCACTTCTGTACCCTGTTTAACACCCTCTTCAATCCTGGCTGTACTCCCTGGGATTGAAATGATTTTGTGTCAGACATTCTTTAATTTGCAGACCCTGCGACCATTTCACATAACCACTCAGATATTACAGATGATCCTGGAAAGATTGTGAAACAGTTACTTGGTATCAGTTGTGAGTAATGAGTTCTTTTCTTATATTGGACATTAAGACCATTCCATAAGCGTAGATTGTGAGATTTTCACAGCATAAAGCCCGTCACTGATAGAGTAATGAAGAAAATGTTCTACAAGTCACTATAGAGTTGATAGGAAAGGGCATTTGTATTAGATTTCCTTATTTAATTCAGAGCCTCAGTTTACTACCCATACCCCTGAAATTGTTTCCTAGTTTACTTATGCGTTCTTTTTCAATTTTATTTATTTATTTGTTTGCACAGGGGCTCAGTTGCAGCAGATGGGCTCCTTAGTTGCGGCTCAAGGGCTCCCCAGTTGTGGCATCTGGGCTCCCCAGTTGCATCAGGCAAGCTCCTTTAGTTGTGGCTCGCAGGCTCCATAAATGTGGCGTGAGAACTCTTAGTTGCAGCATGCATGTGAGACCTAGTTCCCTGACCAGGGATCAAACCCAGGCCCCCTGCATTGGGACCACGGAGTCTTAATCACTGCACCCGCATGGAAGTTCCAATTATGTGTTATTTTATTCATTGGCAGGTATACATACTTATCTATTTTCCCCTGTGCTTTTTATAAATACAGAAAAGAGAATAACATTTTAAAATAAAATGAAGGAAAGGCCTAATGAATCTGAGTTTTTCTCAGTAGCAGGAAGGGAAATGTTTTCCAGCAAGAGCTGTGGCAAGGTTATCCCAGATGTGAACTGTCTCTACTACCCAGGGGCTCAGAGCCCTTCTGAAGCTTCCTAATTGTCCAGGACAGCTCCATTATGACTCACCGTACAGGGCCTAGCCTCCCATGTGACGCTCAATATTTAAAAATTAGTCTTCATTTCTCCTTCCCAGCAGGCAGCTTCAGTTGGAGAAAGTAATTTTATTTTCTTATGTACTCATTCCTTCACTCAGTCAACAGACCATCACTCCCCTATTATATGCCAAGATCTATGCTTGTTTCTTGTTAACAAGGGAAGAATAATATATGGTTCCTTCAAGCACTTAAGGAGCTCATAAACTAGTGACAGAGGAAGATGCACAAACAAATCAATAAAGAATTAACAATGCTTTGACTTTATTTGTGTTATTTGAATTTTTTGACTATATTAATATGCTACACCCTATTCAAAATGGAAATAGACATTTAAGAAAGAACTAGTGATGTAAAAAATCCACAGTAATGTGTAAGTTCTTTAGAGAGTTAAGACTGGAAATATTTGCACTCTCAAAGAAGCTTGTTAATGCAGATGAATCTCTAATTCTTTTGATTGCTTTTTTGCATTTATAGAGGTATATGTATTCCGTCTTCTAACAGGAGTTAGTAACTTGGGGAGGGGGTGCTACAGGTTTAGGTCCTAATTCAGTGGCAGGTCCATCTTATCTCCTCTTCAGGTCATATTCTCAAGCAGGAGCTACAGGATGAGACGACTAAAAGAGTTCACTTCCTTTGCTTACCCCCAGGCCCATAATAGGCTTCTGCTGGGCTTCCTTGGTTCCTTTCATCATCACTTTCACCACCAGAGGTCAGGGAACCTTCCGGTTAATCAGGGGCCCTGGAAATGATGCAGAAAAGTACTGACTTAAAAATAATAAATAACATTTATTTAGGGCTCACTGTGAACTCATTGCTTAAAATGTCCTACTTAATCTTCACAACCACTCTATGAAATTGGTATTGATAAATCTCAGGTGTATCCAAAATAAATCTCTATGTAGGGTAGTGATATTTTTAGGTCTTTTATGTCTTTAGGTTCATCTCGGCACCAGACATAAGGTGGTTCAACATAATACCCTTGCCCTAAACAGCTCCAGATGCCAAGAATTGGCAAATTACTACTTTGGTTTCCATGAGTGGTCAAAAAGGATCATCAAGGTAAACTCTGTAGTTTTTCTTTGACTAACCAGACTCTTTTCAACATTGAACTCCAAGACTTTAGAGAGAAGTATAGAACAGGGCTGTGGGGAGGAGATGTGCGAGGTTTCCACATGGAAGTATCTGAGCATTGGCCTGCCACCTAGAATTAGTGATAATCTCAATGACTTGGATGGTGGTGTCCATAATTTTCTCCAGTATTTGTATGGCATATAATAAAAAATAGTTGTCCATATCTATTCATTTATCTGCAAGTCTCAGTTGATTTTGAAGCTATAGCATACTTAAACTATTACCTGGGATAGCTGGAGTTTAGTTTTTATTTCTAACAACAGAATATGTTGAAGTCCTAATAGCTTCAGGATCTTT